AGTTAAGGGTCGAGGGACTGAATGACGTCGATAGAATACTTCAGGAAATTGAGCTGGTCAATAGGCTTTTCCCCCACCCATAATTAACTCTGGAAGTTTCAGAAAATGATGCTCAGGTTACAACGAAGCAAACTATCTGTCTGTTTGCATGAGTGAATCACAAGGAAGATTAGGCCAGTAAAACTGCCATGCGTTCACGCACATTAATTTATGCGAAATAGATATTGTTATTGCTCCGAAGCCTTTAAGTGAAAACTAACAAAGCAGGAAAGGTCAAGACACTCACTGTGGCCTGACGAACCCAAACTGAAAGATTAGCCCACCTTAACCTGACAGGTAACATGGCTACGAATAGATTGTACAGCCAAACGACCCTAGAGTTTATTGTAGATTCCATGCTGCATTTCATGCATCTTTAGGATTTGTCCTGGTGTGAACTCGACAGGCGTAAAGACCAATCACTAATTATTCAGCCTTGCTTTGTACCCATGAATACGAGACCAAGGAAGAACACAATAGCGCAGTCGGATGGAAGAGTATGTTTGGGTGGCTGTGCCAAAATACAGATGCATTCCAACTAACTGGCTAGGGAGTCGAATAAGAGCAGTGCAACGTAACACAACAGCATGCCAAATGACGAGCATGCCTTACCGTGTGGCTTCAGCTTAGCGAGTCCAGTTAAACTATCAAGGTCAGCGTCAATGTTGAATGTCGTCGAGCACTAGGTTGTTGATTTTGGGGAAGTATGTGACACTACAACCTCTCCTGGTTAACTAGTTCGCTAGTTACTAGCCGGTCCTAAGCCCGGGTAAAGAGGGAAGGTTGGGCATAGGGCTAGCAACCCTAACCCGGAAAACAAATCCAACCGCTAAATAAACTTCAAAGCACAAACAAAATATAAAAATAAAAACAAAATTATTCCTCTCTGGAATCGGAGAGGCGAAATGACGCCAGTTGGTGAAAGTCTTCGGGAAGCCAATCGGCCGATATGTCTTCTCTCCCTCGATGAAAGCGAAAGTAAACGTGGGGACATAGAATGTCCGCACGATGTTTGAACCCAGTAAGGCAGCCCAGATTGCAAAGGAGATGAGAAGGTATCACATCGAAGTGCTTGGGATTTGCGAGGAATAAGCAGATGGAATGGGAGTGGACTCTCTAAACTGTCAACTGGAGAATCAATAATCTACTCCGATATTGTCAACCAGACGACAACCACGAGCACACTGAGTTATGGAGTGGCTATCATGACGTCCCCAAGAGCATCGAAGGCTCTCATGCAGTGGGAACCAGTCTCCTCCAGCATCAGGATCATGATAACAAGATTCAGCTCAAAAGGAAGGAAGGTCACAATCATTCAATGCTACGCACCTACAAATAATGCAGATGAAGAGAAGAAGGAGGAATACTACAGACAACTGCAATCAACACTGGACAAGACTCTAGTTATCGACATCGAAATTCTAATGGGTGGAGTGACATGAATGCCAAACTGGGATCGGACAACACAGGAAGAGAACTAACCATGCGTCGAGAAGCACTCGGTGAAATGCAGAATTCTGTGCATCCAACGATTTGGTGATTGGAGGCACTGTGTTCAAGCACAAAGATATCCACAAAGCGACATGGATTTCACCAGATGGACACACTAAAAATCAAATCGACTTTATCTCAATCTCAAGAAAATGGAGACGCAGTCTACTTGACACAAGGTCAAGAAGAGGAGCAGATGTAGGCTCAGACCACTGTCTAGTGCAAGTAACCCACCTTCCAAATCAAGTTAAAAGCCTCCAAAGAAGTTGGCGATAGACCACAGTTGAAGTACAACACTCGGAACCGAAACCGAACTGAAGGATGAAACTACAAAGGACATCTTCACGTCAGCCAGCCATCAAGACAAAATGGGAGACAGCGAGCAACATCCCTGAAGAAACCTGTGTGGAAGAACACTCAAAGTCTTTGAAAGAGATGTGGAAAGAAACCTGCACAACCGTATTAGGAAGGAAGAAGAAAGAAGATAAGGAATGGATCTCGACGGATACCTGGAAGCTGATAGAGAAGGGAGAGGAGGATGGTGAAACAGAAGATAAACCAGTGCAGTACAAGGATGCTCAACGACAAGAGGAACTGAGCACAATGTATAAAACACTGGACAAAGAAGTGAAGAAGAGTGCACGGAAAGACAAATGACACTTCCACGACACACATTTGCAAGTGAAGCAGAACGGGCTGCAGGTAGGAGAGACCTGACAACATTGTATCAAATAACCAGGTTGCTATCTGGGAAGAAATCAACGCAGACGAAACCAATAAAAGATGATGATGGAAATTTAATTACGAAAGAAGAGAAACAAAGGAAACCATGGGCCGACCACTTCAAAAAGTTCTTGAATCGACCACCACCTGCACTTCGTCCAGAAATACCACCTGCAGCCCAGCCACAGAACCACAAGTGAACATAAATCCTCCAACAAAAGTGGAAGTCCTGAACGCCATAAAGCTACTGAAATGCGGGAAAGCATCAGGACGAGATGGAATTCCGTCAGAAGCACTGAGAACAGACGCAGAGACAACAGCAGACATGCTCACACCACTATTGCAGAAGGTGTGGAAGGAAGAGAAGGTACCTGCAGATTGGAAGAAGGGTTACCTCGTCAAACTGCCGAAGAAAGGAGACCTCAGTGTTTGCAAGAACTGGCGCGGAATCACTCTCCTCTATCCACCCCAAGTAAAATATTAAGCCGCATCATCTTGGAGAGGCTAAAGGATGCACTGGATTCAAAACTACGACCGGAACAGGCAGGCTGGATTCAGGAATTACAAATCATGTGCGGACCAAATTGCAACGCTTCGCATCATCTCATCATAGAACAGAGCATAGAATAGCAGTCAACCCTCTACCTCAACTTCATCCACTTTGAAAACGCCTTTGGCAGCGTCGACCGAGGGGTAATTTGGAAACTGCTTCAACACTACGGAATACCTCAAACTTTTATCAACTTCATTTAACAACTACATGAAGACGCCATATGCCAGGTAATCCACAGTGGGAAGCTCAGTGATGCCTTTGAAGTGAAGACAGGAGTGAAACAAGGCTGTCTACTATCACCCATGATATTCTTGATTGTGGTCGACTGGACTGGATCATGCAACAAACAGTGAGGAGCGAGAAGAGGGGGATACGCTGGCTGGACAGCGGAAAAGAACCTAGAAGATCTGGATTTCGCCGATGACTTGTGTCTAATGTCACACAAACTTGAAGATCTACAGGCGAAAACTAACAAGTTGGCAGAAGAGGCAGAGAAGACGGAACTTCAAGTGAATGTAGAGAAGACAGAGGTGATGAAGATACTCAACTAACAATAGCAACAACAACAACAAGCTCTAATCACTATCAACAGGAGAAAATTGAAGGAAGTAGCCTCTTTCACCTATCTAGGCAGCACTGTTTCAACTACAGGCGGGACAGATGAGGATGTCAAAGTCAGAGTCGGAAAAGCAACACAGGCGTTCATTGGCCTGAAACCAGTGTGGAGATCTTCTGCACTCAGCATGCGGAACAAGATTCGGATTTTCAACACCAACGTCAAGTCAGTGCTTCTGTATGGTTCAGAGACTTGGCGCGTTACGAAAAGCATTTCCAACAAACTACAGACACTCATCAACAACTGCTTACGCTGGCTCCTTACTAAAGCTCAGATGGCCAGAAAGAATAAGCAACAAGGAACTCTGGTCTGGTAGCAAACCAACCAAGAACCTACCGCTCAATATATATGCAGAAGGAAGTGGGGATGGATTGGGCATACACTGAGAAGACCGACTGGGGAGATCACGAGTCAGGACAGTTGCTCGAGTGGAATCCCCATGGGAAGCGACGAGTTGGGCGTCCGAGGGTGACATGGAGGAGATCGTGTGAGGAGGACATGAGAGCTTCTGGGCTGTCGTGGAACCAGGTTCAAAAGACTGCAGAGAACAGAGTTCACTGGAGACGTGCTACTGAAGCCGTAAGTTCCATTAGGAAACCAGGGGACTAATAATAATCATAATGTGGCGCTACACATCGACCAGCACCATCAGCCAAAAGGATTGTGCCTTTGTCCGTAAAGTAACATCTGACTGTGTCTTCGGATCCATCAGTACAGTCTAGGTATGTCGTCCGCCTTTGAACAAATTAATCCCGTTTGTTGCTACTTCACCTTCTGCTTGTATTTCTTATCTCTCAAGAACACTTGTAGAAGTTTCAGAATTCTAGTAGTTGAATTCGGATCGTCACTGCTTCTTGACAGCTGTTTTGAATAGTTGCATGGCGAAAGGATAATCTAATGGGGCATTGGAGAAAATTGAACGGTTTTCTATCTTGATCTCTTAAACGAAAACCCGGCACGTCAGTGGTCAACAATCTCGTGCAAACAATGGACAGGTTAAAATGGTGTTCTATGACCTACCCACACCTCGTTCATGAAGACGGAAAACTCTCAACCATACAGTCGAAGTTCTTTCTTGAAATATAACTCTAGGATTCTTTAGGAGTTGTTTATGCCCGGTCTTGATGGACGCAGACTTCAACGACTAATTCTACATACATACTGAATACCCACCAGTGTTATTTCCTGACCTTACATGGCCTAACATTCAATCTGGATAGATGTTGTGCCATGTTTTTGCACTCCTAACTCTCAGAAACTTTCTTGCCCTCTCTGCGGTACGCACCTTTCACGACTGCGGTGAAAGACCTGGAACTAATACTGGTCAGCAACCTGGACACTAGTGCTAATTCCCAGGCGACACCTTAAGGGCCTACATAGCAATATGCTTCTCGTGTAGCTGACTGAAGGCCAGACCTAGAAGGTCGCGGGGAAGAATTAACTGGTTTATAGAAGTTTGTAAAATAGACATTCGATACCTGCTGATAGTAAATTAAGACAGTCATAGGAAAATAATACTATATTTAAAGAGGCGTATTTTGTGTATTGCACCCCCTTCACAACTGAATAGGCAGCGCTACATATTACAATGTGCTGTCAATAAGCGCGGCAGGGTTTGTTTAGTCAACCCAAGCGGATGAACGTTTTGAGCTAGGGTGATTCTAATCTTTCCTGTTAAAGTCGATAGGTTTGGTGGCCGGATGCAGCGCAAGCTTGAGCCTTTACCTGGACTCAGTAATGTCACAGGGAAGTATACAAAGAAGTGTACAGACGAACCATACCCACGTTTGTTCGTGCAAAGTGTAGCTGAAATTAAACGTGAAACCACAGGTCAAGTAAATAAGGTGAAGCCAGAGATAACCGGAGTTCATTGTGCGAACACCCCTTCTGCAGTTCTATCTCTGAATTCCTCCTCATCTACTTCACAATCAAGGCAGGACTCAGCAGGAGGTTCTAACTGCTTATCTGTAGCTCACAGAACTCAGAACACTTACGCTCCAAAATCTCAATTCACTGCACCGAAATCGACATCAGCTCATTCTTCTATACTTTTTAGTGAGTCGCACACATCCACAGGAAGCAAAATAAGAACTCATAAGTCAAGCATTCCTATAAAACCACAAGATATACCACGCACTAAAACACGCATGAAGGAGGTGGTAAAGTCTTCCTCATCCGGAAGTGTATGTAAATTGCAATCTAAGCCTACAGGTGTGATAATTGCCACTCCTTGTTCTCCACTTGTTAACGAACAAGGTCTCACCCGGTCATTTGAAAGCTTTCATTTAAATGACAGAGTTGCTTCGTCTAACTCACTTGGTGGTAGTGAGGAGTCCTCTCACCCGAATTCCGATACGACACCTTTTGTAATGAGGAAGGACCATGGCCAGGGAATGACCTCTGGACCATGCAATGTGCTAAGTGGTTCATATGGGTCTGGAGATGGAGATTCTTCGGCAAAAGATCAACTGTATGACCAACCGTGCTTTGTTCAATCACCATGTAGACTTAATGCTATGAAGGACTCTCCCGCGACTGTTAACCCTCAGTGCTTCTTGAAAAGGTTCTCTGATAGCCAAGGAGCTTATTCCTCAGACGTCAGGCAGTTTTACAATCTACCAGGTCCGGAGTATTGCATAACTAATACACTGAACACTATACCTGTTCATGCATGGGCAAGCAAAGATCTAATCAATGGCCCGTCATACCCGCATGGAGAGCAACGCCTTTGTCACCCAGGGTGGCAGGAAATTCGAGATAGCAACGAGGTTTCCAGAAAAGTTTCAGCTCAGCTCTACGGTCTGCAGCCAAGGCAGGGTTCATGGGGTATTGGTAAGTATTTGCATTATAGGTCGTTATATTGCAAACGCTATCAGCCTGCCAAGATTATTGTTAATTGTTCTGAGAAAGCAGATCCTTGTCGCAGGTGAAAAACGGTTTTTCATTACATGCTCTCCTTGGGTACATATTTGAGATGATAAACGTCAGCGTAAAGTTATGTTTTACATGTTAACCAAAAAGATCTACATTTATGTTGGTGTAGAACTTTAGTCTGTTTTGTAGACGTCTATCGATTCATAATTGCATATTTGTCAATATGTCCGATAATCTATTCCACCCTTTACAGTCATAACCTCATTAACAAGAGAGTAAGGATCCAGAAAGCAACTGTTAGTTAGGCTTATGGTATTGGTTGGTGAAATTACTAACTTACTAACGATGGAAAACTTAGCACTTATATTCTCATCAGACGACTCTTCACATGTCTAACCCTACAAACTGTTGGGACTGTGGTGGTCCTTTCTAGCAGGTTATACTTTTAACTCATCTGCAGCGATTTGTTATCATTGCTGCTTCGCCGAGGGTAAGGTTAGTATAGTGTATAACCTTAATCGTAAGCATATCTCAAACCTCTATACTTACCCACGTAGTCATCTGTAATTTTGTTTCGAGAAGGAATTCGTGGTTTTGTTCGTATGGTAAATGTATTTTGAATAAGACGGTTATTTTTGTCTTGTGATCCACTTTGGAGTAGTCGTTTGAAGTTCTGTCACTGGTGCTTAGTTTCAATTCCAAGCATACTGATGGGATATAAATTTTCCTTACTGGACATCTAATGAAAAATCCTACCAATAAACTACACAGTATAGGACAAGGAAACTTCTGAATTATTGTTACATTGCTAGTGTTTAGTTCAAAGCGTTCGTTCACAACCAAGCTCCTATTACTGTCTTATGCAAGGCTATGACCCTGATAGAGCGGAAAATGTTTGTGGCCAGGAATAAATCAGAAAAAATTTATTGAAGGAAGTGGGGGGCAACATATTCTCCATTTTGTGAGAGAACTTATCTGTTCTGGTAATGTGGGTATTTTCCTAATCAATTGCTAGTATTGTCTCAAATTTGGGTAGGTGATTTCATCCAAGGAGGTAATAACAAGCGATGCATAGTATATATATAGGTACAAGCTTTTACGTTCATGCTCCAATGCAAGAAAGTGTCTTTAACAGCTTGTTCCCCCTTTTCTTATTTGTGAGTTCTTTGCCTCTTTGGATTTCATTCTCTTTGGGTAAAAAATACAAATAAGATGCTATCAATGCATTTGTGCCATGATGTCACAGCAGTTAATGCTGATGGAATACTGTTCGTAAGGCTTAGTTTCAAAACTTCGATAGAGTTACCTAACTATTCCAGGAACCTCACATTCACTGCAAAGAAAGTCACCATCGCAAGGCGCTTGTAACTTGTAGTGTGACTGGTTTAGTACTGTAGATTTTTATGGCTGGAATATTTTGTTAGCTCAGTGGTCAGTAACAGTGATAGTGGATCCAAACTGAATAGCCGAATGAAATTTTGAGACCTTGCAGGTGGAATAGGAGCGAATTGGATGGAAAAGCAGAAAGGAGTCCTGATTTATCCGTTCAAACATAGTGTAGTTATCAACCTTGAACATTTTTGTGCGCTAATTTAGATGAAATGTTTGAAGAAGTAATTTATTAAAACGTGTCGATGAGTGTGAGGTTGATTATCTTAACTATGATGTACAGTATCGCTGGTGGTTTTTGACAATCGCTACTAATGTTTATGCCACTGAATGGTCATTGCACGGACTTTTTGCACTTGATCTAGTCTTATCAGTAGAGTTAAGGGTTTCCATTTAGTCGGGATTTGTGTATCTAAATACTTCAATGGTAGCGGTGAATTAAAGACCTTATAAACCTCTCAACCAGCTCTTCACTGTGGATACGTGAAATTTTATACCAAATAATAATTCCACTTAAAGTTAAACGATCTGGAAGACGAGTCTTCTGGTGTGTAAGAAATCTTTGCCCTTCAAAAAACACTAGTAATCGGGTCATAATACCATTACATTTATATGTTTTAACACCCATGTATCGAAGTTGGAGGGTGAACTTCGTCGTTTATTGAATCATTTCTAGACTATAATATGCCAGAAAGTATGACAAAAATTTTCATTGTGGTTATAAGGGTCGAAGTCGGGTTTCTCACGAAATTTTAGTGTTCAAAATGGTAATTAGCGGCATTCACCATGGCTAGTTTGGCAAATATCTATCCAATTATCCTCCTTCGAATCTTTCTATACAACAAAGGTATTATTAGTCCCAAATCCATACCCCCGACGTTGTCACCAAAATGGATCTGTCCCGAACGAGCCATACTCATGCTATTTTGTGTACTCATGTGTAACAATTACACATTTTCATCTCTATTTTAAAGTGACTAATAATCAGCCATTTCTACTAGTGTTTCCAATATTTGGTGGATATATTGTGTATATTTGTTGACAGTGTTGTTACTTGCTTTTAGGTATGTCACAGGGAACTGAACTGTCAGCTTCTGGAATGCCGGGTCCGCAGTGCACACAAAGTGCTCTGGAACACTATTTATCAGATCTGATAGCTGATGAACAGCGTTTTATGGCAGGAAGTCCTTGTAATGCATTTGGATACAGCTTTTGCGGAACGGCAACTGGTTGTGGAAACCAATCATCTATCGCAGCGTCTGGTGAAAATGGAAAAAAAACGTGCTCTATAGACTTACTTCACTTTCTAGAGCAACGTATTGAAAATGCCTTACGGAGTATGACCTCATTTGGTATGTTTGTACTAAAATAATCACTTTGTCTGACATTCTTTTTAGTCAGATTTGTCTTCATACTCTTCTATACTTAATAAGTAGTAGTTTTTCTATCGTTTGACGTTCATTTATCCCTGTGAATGCTTCTTTTGTAAAAGCTATTTAACACTTAAAAAACAATGCACGTTTCATACAATTTTCTCCTGGACTATATTTGGCCCCTTATGCTCCAGTGTATGAAAACTTTGTAGATTAAATAATGAGTTTTCCCACTAACCTCAATCAATGTAAGATACGGCGTAGTGGTTCAACTGACTAGTGTACATAAGTTTGTCTCCTTTCTGAAATAGGTTTGCTGTTAATATACATAATCGCATACCAGGGATAGCAAAGGAATTTGGCGTGATAAAACATTTTCCGGTTCACTTGTCTCATAATTCGATTGTTACATCTCTTTGCCATAACGTTTTGACAAACGTCTCGATTCACTAAGGTTCCGTTACCTTGATTTTTCATTGTAAGATCCGTCTTGTTCTTCCAATTAGATACCTATATATCAAATTTCAAGATACATGTCGTAGACCTTTTAGCTGTTTGGATTCGAAGAAGGGTAGTTATTGGAAATGAAGAGTGCACTTTAAGTGAATATGTGCTTTTAATAAACTGTTAGGCTTTTAGAAAGCGAACACAAAGTGATATCTATGCACTCCTTTAATGCAGTGTTATTGGTGATATGAATTCGGTTGTGTGTATATTTTACTTGCTATATGTGGGGGATTATTGAAAATAATTAACTTTCTAAAACGTCATAAAAGTCGAAACACAGAGCATGACCACAAACAGCAGATTTATTAATATGAACAGTGGCTTTCTACAAAGATATACTCGCTTTTCCCACGCATCGTCACTAATATTCGTTTAAGTTACGTACAACCCTCTTGTACTTATTGTTTCAGTAAGATTTTATCACTTCTTTTTGTCTACTTACAGTTAACATGTGGGTAGTATTTTAAAGACATTTTTGCATAAATCTTCTTGAATACTTTATGTTTTCATCACTGTGTATTCACCCAATAGTTTTTCCTTATTGAATTATCAGATTCAAAACAATACATTCATCCAAGTGCACATGTCAGAGTACGTCCAAACAGAAGTGCTTCTTTAAATCCTGTTCTTGACTCTCGAATAAATAGTATTGAGTTTCCTTTACCTCTGGGCAATGTTTGTCAGAATCAACCTGGACCTGATAATGACGATGATGTACAAAATTCTTCCTTCTATGAAAACCTAGTTAATCTTCAAAACACTCAATGCATTGGTTCTTATCCTAGTAGACATTTCGACTGCGCGCATACGGAGAGTAACATGCTTCAACAGTTTAATACTGATGAGGTCAGTGTCCTTAATAAAGTGTATATTGTCTAGTTTATTTCCCCCGATTATTCACTTTTGTCCTGCACTTGTATTATCCATTGTTGATTGACTAACCTCTCAGCAGGTTAAAAGTAGCTCCAAATACTTGAACTGCTGTTAAAATTTACTGAGCACAAAGGTTGAACCAAGGGAAGATGCTTCTAGTAACCCATATATTTAGTAGTCATACTACATTATCATGTGTGAAATTATTTAAAAAATCCTGACGTGTCACTTATGATTCTATAAATTTGTCTGTGGTATGTCACCACTTTGATTAATCTGCATTTCCCCAGCCTGTACGGAAATAGAGTTTCGAGTATACCAAGTACTGTTGATGTATTTAAAATACATTTTAACGAATAATAGGAAGATTGAATGTTTTCACTACCTATACTCTTCTGTAGCTAAGCCTCGTTTTTATGCTGATGAAGTCCTCTTTTCCTGCTGTCAATCCTCTAACATAATTTTAATGCATGAAGCAATTTTTTGAAAGAATCTACCTATTCAAAGCTTCAGCTTCATCCTCAAATTCATGTTTCTTTTTGATTTTTACTTATCAAATGGGCGTTCTCTTTTTAAATCAGTTGCAACTAAAGCCCAACTCGACATTTAAAGAATGTAAGGAATTCTTCACGTTCCTAGGTATAAAAATGTAAAAGATATAAATCATCTAAATGCCTTCCATGGGAACGAAATGAATCAACAGATGGGCGAAATAATTGTTATTTTGTGTACGAGGTTCCATTCTCAGTTGCAAATGTCCAGAGCTGAGGAGATGAACCCTTGTTAAGATGAAAATTGCAGTGAGTAAAGATGTGGATTTTTCAAACCTTTGTACGGTTATGTAAGCACTGATGGGTCTGGAGTTCAATGAGGTCACTAAGCTACTGCTGAATAGTATTGTTTTATTTTGTACAATCAATGTTACCTACATATGTAAAGAACTGAATGGTTAAAGTGACTTTAGAGAAATTAACTGCCACATGATTTTGACTTATTTCAGAGGGCTGTATAAGCGAACTCTCACATTTTCTTAGTCATTAAACACTCATAATTGGCTTAAACAAAGCAGTAAAGTGGACGTAGCATTCTCAGACGAGGCTATGGATATTGGTTGTCCAAAATGTGATATAGTCTAATCTCTTTTGGTCCTACTTTGGACTCCTGAGAAAGATTTATCGACATGTCATCGTGTATTAGTGAGTTGATTTATATCATCCCACTTCCTAGCAGCACCAAATATTACCAGTGATCCGGTCCTTACTGCCTATCTGCCATCATTACGGATACCTGTTTCAAAATACAATAGGTCCGCAAATTTATATACTGCAACACCTATATTGATCAGTTTCCAAAGCATCAATGGCAATTTTTTTCGGGTAGTGTCTAACTCTGAGGATATATATATATATATATATATATATATATATATATATATATATATATATATATATAACAAAATCATGGGATTCTTAGTAAACGTATTTTACTTTGTCGGCACTAAATGATAATGTAGGAATTTTGTAGACTTACACTTTGTTTAGATGCAGGCATTGATGAAGACCACTTCATCTCTTTGAATATTTGTGTTTATCTAGTAAGTTGGTGTTCATATAGTGCCTGTGCAAAGAAAGGAGTGTTTTACCATCACTGACTTGCTAGTATCTTGTTCACTCCTTTGTTTGATGTAACTAATTACTGTTAAGCGTTGGTTTGTTGTAGTCCTCTAGTTAGGAGTAGTAGGGCACGTGAAATTGTACCGACGTTGACATGAAATTTCGAAAGGCAGTATCGGATAGAAAAAAGTGTTTTAATAGCACTGATATTGAAAATCCATGAATATATATATATATATATATATATATATATATATATATATATATATATATATATATATTTATATAGTATCATGCTGCTCCCATGGACCCAAAGTTTCAGCTACTATTCACTCTTCGGATAGAATTTTTGTGGGTCGGTTAAAATAAATTACTTACGAGTGAAAACCCAGTGCAGTTGTTTTAACACTACATGTATCTAATATGGGATGATAATCACACTTGACTAGAGGTTTCTTTTAGCTTTTCTAGTGTTTTAAGCTTGTGCACTGACTAGTTGTTATGTTATGCACACTACAATTTCCCTGTTTCTTGAACTAGATTTTCGAAAAGCAGCTGGTCGCTCGGAATATGGGTTTCGATGTAGATTCTGAAATAATCTAAACACTTCATTCGCTTTATGCCTTTGTTGTATGTCAAGTAGGTTTCTGTTTTGAAGTAAACATCATGCCTAACTGTATTCTGTAAGTGACAGTTTACATTTCCACTAAATTGCATACAAAAGAGATGATTTGTCGGATGGAATCAATTTATTCTTCAGTGAAAGCAGTCATCAATTTTAGTCTTCATTGGAGTTGCGTACTAATTTAGCTAGTCGAGTGTGCTGTATTTGCTAGTAGAGTGTGGCCTACACGGTATGAAACTGATACTGTTGAAATTATGAGGTTCTCCTCAGTGTAACACCATAAAGAGGTAATTCCATTTTAGTCTGTTTATTAGAAATACCACAGTGAAACAGTAGCATTTACTGAATAACGTTTGGAACACAATTTATTGTCCATATTCATATCAGGTAGCTCCACAACTTCGACACAGTCTTTATATATTCCTAGTTTTCTCTCCTTCTCTGTGATGACAAGGGTAGTAGGAATTTCCATATATCTGAGACAGGTGCAGCATTATTTCGATTGTATGTGTTTGGTGTTGATTCGATAAACAAAGATTCGGTTGTCAATCTCTCCCTCCACCCAACTAAGTTAGTTTTCAACACTGTCTCCCTATCCCACCCTACTGTGTGATTGTGTGTCATCGCATGCAAAGCTATAACGGAGTTTTTCTCTAGATTTCTTATCTTATTAGGATCTACTAATCTTGATTTAGCTAAGTTTTTGTGATCTGTTATTCTAACCGACCCTGGTTGACTGCTTTGACCTATGTATATTAACCATAAAGATGTTCCTATATATCCTTATCTTATGTATACTGAAGAAATCGCTTTGAATTTTTAGGACTTTTAGGATGATTCTGCCTTTTCAAAATGTTAATCAATCTATAGATATTTTCGTGAACTAAGATACATACCCCCCATAATTTATAGTTTTTTCTGTAACGTAAGTATTTATAGATGAAATATATTTGTAAAGTCCTAATGAGGTATAGAAATGAATTTTTGACGTTTCAAAACCTCATAGAAGTCTCTTCGGAAAATAAAACTTGTACAAGTTATCGCATGTCTAAATACCAAATGGCGACAAATCAGATCATATTCTTTATACATGATAATAATATGAGAATAAATGTCGTCGTAATCAGTTATTAGTTTGTGACGTCAAGGTGAAGATGTAAATGTATGCATCTATGTGAATGGGTGTGAAGGTGTGAGAAAATATGGAAGGAGAATTCAATTTGCTTATGCTTATGTACTTTGTACAGGTTTTGTTTTCTGAAGAAGCAATTTGTACGAAGTCACGAAACGTCAGAAATCTGTTTTTCTACCTAATTAGGATTTTTCAAATACATTTCACTTATAATTCATTTACCCAATACTCAACTTATTCAACTCTGTCAGGTCAAATTTTGATCATGAAGTCGGTAAAAGGTTAATATTCGACTGCTGATGCATCTTGGGTGTTCAAACAGTCGACATCAATACAATGGTTTGCAGTGCAGGCGTACAGAGTGTGTACAGACTGATGTGTTTTCAGTTTATCTGTCACAATTCAAATGTTCACTTTAAAAATGTTTGCTATTTTAGTTGCAGTATCTCCTCAAAGCTGTCAAGGACTTAGTAGCACTACGCACCAATCCATCGACAGGTACAAGCAGTTCACAAGGTCAAGAAGGGTCAAGATTTGGTGAAATGGATAAACAGAAAAAGACCATCAAAACTGAACGAGTTGATACATGCACGATATCAGGCAAAGATGACCAGAGCACATATGGAAGGTCAGGCACAGAATCGCCATATATCACAAGATCAGTATCCAGCAGTCGCAGTAGTAGCGCTGTGAGAAATAATCGCTTTGATACGTCTTCGGAATCCCGTGGCAGTCGAGTTAGCTCTGGTGTGTCTGAAGATGGCAGTCATTCAAATGCTGATCTAATGCATCAGCGCTTACCTATAGGTTTTCAACACTTTGAACGATACCTAGACAGTAAATTTGGGCCCGACCGCCCAACTAACAACGTAAGTGCAAACAGTTCGGAAATGCAAGCAAAACCTGAGTTGTGTGCAAAATCAACGCGTTCCAGTGCTGGGCATTCCCCATCACTTTTATCTGGAAATCTATCCGATCATAACCCACAGTTAATTACGAGACAAAGAGCGCCGAGCTCGATTGCTTTGCATTCTGGAATAAATAATATAAACACTAGTGGTGCGAGTAAAGTTGGGAATAATACAGATCATTCTTCTGTTCCGGCAGTTTCACAATATCCAATTTATTTCAATGAAAGTTCCCATCCATTTTCCACAACTTCGCAGTCTGGTAAGGATTTGTTACCATTACTTCAATATTTCATCCAAGTGTGGAAATTTAGCGAAATATGTTACTGACACTGTGGTTTTCTCAGTTCTTAAGTATGTCCCTAAATTCTCCCTTAACTAGCAGATCCGATTGTTAATAACACACACAATGTATAATGACTTATTCCACTAATGCTATTATCTGACTTCATTTCAGTTAACTAAAACTGACCACGTTTTGTCGTAGGGAATATTAATTGTGGTGGAACGTTACCAGGGGAACATTAAATGAAACAAATACGGAAAAAATAAAGTTACACTGCGCAAAAATATCTCTATTTGTTGAAATTTATGCAGAAAAATAATGAAATATATAATAACTAATATTTTAGAGTATGTTAACGTATCACTAAAAAATCAGTAGATTATATTTATTATTTTTGATTATCTGAGATATCCGTGGCTTGGCAGACTAGTGTTATTACTAGGTGGTGATTAAAGGTGAGATGAAAATTTGGACCGCTATCAGATTCGAACCAGCGACTACAGGGTTTCTGGCCCGATGCCCTACCAACTAAGCTACGAGGTCTGGCTACTGACCAGATTTTTATTTCACTTCAACACTTCATACATGATAATAATATGAGAATAAATGTCGTCGTAATCAGTTATTAGTTTGTGACGTCAAGGTGATGTAAATGTATGCATCTATGTGAATGGTTATGAAGGTGTGAGGAAATACTATGGAGGGAGAATTCACTTTGTTTGTGTTTATGTTCTTTGTGCATATTTTGTTCACTTGACTTCCACATGGTTGTGGAATAATTAAAATTTTAGGATTTACCGAAACTTGAAGTGACTAAGAAGCCTTTATCTAATCAAGCCCCCAGCCGATTGTACACAGACAGAACCGCAAAATATCCAGAGTGAAATGTTCACAATCTCCTCCTAGAGAGTGGAGCTGATCACATCTTGGCTTTTTTCTAAAAATTCTATGTGCAATGTGAAACTGAAAACAAAATTGAAATGTACTCAGATATCATATGCACGTTTGTGCAGCAGGCAGTGAGCTGCAGGCTAATGATATTGCCTGGTTGCCATGACCTCGGAAAATGGACTGAAGTTCAAATATGTAACCCATCTATTGAAAATCAAATGGCTAGTCTAATGAGCCACAGTCCCACGTGTGAAGTGTAACGATATAATACAGTGAAATTCAACAATTCTTAGTGAATATTAGAAATTACACCCGAATTCTTATTTAGGCTTTTTTGGTTGAAACTTGTGTTTTACTGTCTTTTTAATTCATACACGTGATTACTCCCTTCAAAATTAGATGAGATCAAAAAACAGTAAGCATTTACACTGTAAAAAGGAAACGAGTGAATCCCAAAAGTTAGTAAAACACAAAGTTCATAGGAATCTAACGATGACCATCGAGAAAACTTTGAAAGTCAACAAAGAATATGAATTTCACGTCCCACTTCATGTCAGAAGTAATAGTTTTAGTAAACAGGAGACTCCTTTTAGGAAAAAAATAGAAACATAGTTGATGAAGTTGTAAGAGTTATCGGAGCAACTTTTGTAAAAACTTCCGCGCAGAGTGCAAACCACACAAATAAAGATTACAACCGCAGTTTCTTAAACACATTTCATGCATGAGATGATTTGATGCAGTTAGTTTCCTACCGAAGGAAAAACTTTCATATATTTCACAATTAAATAAGTAGTAGTGTAGTGTGTAGATTAGAGCATTTTATGCTCGTGTAGAACAAGAGTGTATTCAAATTTCTGCAGATTTTGTCTACAATATCACTGAAGTTAATCCGTTGTTTGTCAATAGGAATAGTCAATATATTTGAAATTATACTCATTTTCTTTTAACTACGTAAGGCAATATGATTGGAGAATGGACAGTTAAATAAACGGGTCAACTGTAGGTAGTGTTACCTCTTAGTAACTGATTATTAAGACATTTTATGAATGAAAAGACATTGGTTTTTAACAAAGCAGCATGCGGGAGAATATCATCATCATCATCATTATCAACATAGGACCAGGCATTACTGCGTAACGGTCCGAGTTGCCACACCTCATATCAGCACATCAAGTAAAAAGGTAGTGAGGTGAAGGATGAAGATAAGTGAATGCAGTCAAAAGAAATATAAAGTACGAGAAGAAAGGAAAGAGGAGTGACAAAATAGTGAGATTCGGTATAGCGTTGTTAAGATGAGGATAATGTGTGTATACATCTGCGCCACTGACTTCGGTTCTGAGCCATATCACCTAGGGTCTCCAACCACTGGTTCCTCTTGTCCCGTGGACCCCAACCACCTAGTCTGCATCGTCCTACATGGCTTAAACCAACAGTCAGAGACTTCATACATTGGTGCCATGTTTTAGTCTGGCCACCTCGGGCCTTTTTCCAGCCTGGACCCACCTCAGCCAACATTGTGTGACGAGGCAATCGGTGACTAGGCATACGTAGTACGTGTCCCAACCATCTCAGTCGATGAAGGTTCACAACCTCGTCGACTGACTTACCTCTTCTCCCCAAAACTCTACACCTAACTTCTGCATTACTCACATGGTGACACCACGGAATACGTCCTATACTACGAAGGCAACGGTGGTCAAAACCTGAAGCCTTCTCATGTCTTCCACTTTCAATGGCCATGTTTCACAGCCATACAGTAGAACAGAGCGGACTGCTGTGCAGTACACGCGACCCTTAATAGACAAACGAATATCACGGCGGCGCCATAGGTGGCGCAAATTGGCAAAAGCCAATCGAGCCTTTTGTATCCGTGCAGAAATCTCATCGGCAACTAACCCACCGGGTTGATCCTACTTCCCAGGTAAGTGAAGTGGTCAACACACTCAACCACTTCACTCTCTATTGTTAACCGCGGTACCGCTGAAGACCAGTCCTGGAGCAAAAATTTGCATTTGGGTGGTGAAAATCGCATCCCAAACATTCTCAAATTCCCACTCAAAGTGTTCAGAAGACTCTGCATCTTGTCAGCGTCTTCACCTAACAGGACTATGTCATCTGCATATTCTAGATCTAAGGAAAATTCACCTGTGATTGGGTCAACGTCTTTGTAATTAGGTGACGAGAGGGAAACCTCCATAAGAATATCTATGATAAAATTAAATAAGAATGGGGATAGTGGGCATCCTTGACGGACACCACTTGATGAGTATAGCTCCCTGGACAACTCACCATAGGCTCTAACATGCCCACAAGTGTTCGAGTAGAGAGCTTTCAATAAGGTGATGTACTTACTAGGCACGCCTTTCAGTGACAGACACTGCCATAAGACTTCTCGATCAACGGAGTCAAATGCCGCCTTCAGGTCGAGAAATACAGCTATTGTCGGGCGTCTGTAAGCATGCCTATGTTCCAGGACCTGGCGCAGTGTGAATATTTGGTCGATACATCCACGGCCAGGTCTAAAGCCTGCCTGGTTTTCTCGGGCTTGCTGTTCCCGAGCTCCACTCAGGCGTCGGAGAATTATAGAACTTAGGATCTTAGACACTATGTTTGTCAGGCTGATTCCTCTGTGGTTATCACAAGAGGACTTCTCGCCTTTCTTGAAGACTGGGATGATCAGTGACTTAGACCAGTCGGAGGGGATCGTATTTGATTCCCATATACTGGCTAACACTTCCGTTAGCCTGACTAAGAGAACTCTACCACCATTCTTGTATACCTCAGCAGGTAGTCCGTCTGGTCCTGCTGCCCTTCCCGTTTCAGGCTACCTACCGCTTTCTCAACTTCTTCTAGTGTTGGGGGACCTGTCTCTATGTCCCATTCAGGGTCCGACTGGATAGCGGGCAGCGCAATGGTGGCTGGAGGCCAGTTAAACTGTTCCTCAAAGTGTTCTGCCCATCGTCCCAGTCGCCTTCCCTGCGAGTGAATCAGATCCGTCCTTCTCCGCTATAACCTCACTAACTGTTGTTGACCATTTCCCCCCAGTCTCCTTAATAAGTCTAAATAACTGTCTACTGTTACCGATCGCCGCTGCCTTTTCCATCTCTTTAGCCTTTGCTGCCCACCACTGTTCACGATCGTTGCGCAGACTTTTCGTCAGTCTATTTTTAAGTTGCGCTCGCTCTTCATTGTACTCAGAGCCTGCAGGGATGCATTCACGTGCATCCATTAGTTTGGAAGAAGCTGCTGATATCCACTGGCTCTTTTTAGCCATTATCTTGGAGTCGGCTACAGTCTCCAGTGCTGCTTTTACAGTAGACTGAAGATGGCACCAAGCTTCTTCTGGATGAGTGACAGTCTTTTGTTCCGATAACTGCCTAGCCAACTTCTCACTGAACACGGCTTTGGTGTTTTCGTTGTCCAGCAGAACTCGTAGTGGTTTTGTTGCCAAATTTTTTCTACGTCCATTGAGACGCAGGCATATACGTGCTCGGACCAACGCATGATCGCTGTACTCCAGAAGGAGCGGCAGTCTTCCACCGATCCTCTCCAGCGATGACTAATAGCAATGTGGTCTATCTGTGTCCATCGCTGAGTCGAGCTCGGTGGACGCCAGGTCAGACAGTGCCTTTCTTTATGTCTGAAATTTGTGCTGGCTAAAAATAGGCGGTTATCTGAGCATAGTTGTAATAGGCGATCACCGTTATCTGTACGTTCAGCTGGGATTCCGAAAGTGCCACCTAAGTGCCTTTCTGCCTCACTCAGTCTACCCACCTGTGCGTTGAGGTCACCTGCAACAACCACTACGTCCGAACGTTTGGCTTTCGAGAGGAGGTTAGACAGTTTATGGTAGAACTCGTCCTTCACTTCATCCGAACTACAGTCAGTGGGTGCGTAAGCAGAGATTACAAAGAGACAACGGCGAGTCTCACTATTCCTTTTAGTTCTCACTGTGCCGTTCAGCCTCATAGCGCAGAGGCGACTATCAACTGGGATCCAGTCTAGTAGTGAGTTTTCTGCCCTGGTGCTTAATGCTATACCTACACCTGCAAGACCACGAGAGCTAGCTATCGAATCTCCAGAAA